GAACATTTCCATTTGAGAGTATCAAATCCTCCATACTCCGAACAATAACATACCAAGTTCTCAGCTGTTTACCACGAACATACCAAATTTCTACGACAAACATACCAAATTCTCATTTGTCTACTATGAACATACAAAGTCCTCATTTGTCTACCGCAAACATATCAATTTCTCAGCTGCTTACCACGAACACACCAAGTTCTCAGTTGTCTACCACGAATATACCAGGTTCTCAGCTGTTTACACAAACATATCAAGTTCTCATTTGTCTACCACGAATATACCAAATTCTCAGTTATCTACCACGAACATACCAAGTTCTCAATTGTCTACCACGAACATACCAAAGTATCAGTTGTCTACCACGAACATACCAAGTTCTCAATTGTCTACCACGTACATACCAAGTTCTCAGTTGTCTACCACGAACATACCAAGGTATAAGTTGTCTACCACGAACATACCAAGTTCTCAATTGTCTACCACGAACATACCAAGTTCTCAATTGTCTACCACGAACATACCAAGGTATCAGTTGTCTACCACGAACATACCAAGTGCTCAATTGTCTACCACGAACATACCAAGTTCTCAGTTGTCTACCACGAACATACCAATTTCTCAATTGTCTACCACGAACATACCAAATCCTCATTTGTTTACCACGAACATACCAAGGTCTCAGTTGTCTACCACAAACATACCTAATTCTCAATTGTCAACCACAAACATACCAAATTCTTAGTTGTCTACCACAACATACCACGTTCTCAGTTGACTACCACAAACATACCAAGGTATCAGTTGTCTACCACAAACATACCAAATTCTCAATTGTCAACTACAAACATACCAAGTTTTCGGTTGTCTACCACGAGCATACCAAGTTCTCAATTGTCTACCACAAACATACCAAGTTTTCAATTGTCTACCACAAACATACCAAGTTTTCAGTTACAATATCAAGAGCTCACTTGCCAAAAATAGACAAATGTTTCACAAGGGGCCAAAGCAGTTCACTTTAGTATTAAAATCGCCCGATGAAAGAAAACCCAAAAGTTGTGTTTTGATTAATTTCATGGCAGCGTATTAGTGAACATAAATACACCTCTGGTTGAAATTGACTTTCATATCAGAAGACATTTGAAAGAAGATTTTTGTAGCCGAAAGAGTATTTTACTTCCCGAATGAGGTGTATTTATAAAACTGGCAATAAAACAGATTGTGTCCTTAATGTTTAAATAATGTCTATTTCTACTGAAAACCTTCATTGTGTTAAACAGATATAGACTAAGATCATGACTTGCCATGTATAGCCTATGTATATATTGCATACAATGTAGAATAATACGACGTAATACTCCATTCAATTTATTTCATATTGGTATATTGCATACACACTATATAGGTTTTGTGAATTGTATTCAAATTGAACAAAACAAATTCAATTCACAATAAAACTTATAAGATATAAATATGTTATTATCTAAGATGGCCTACATAAAACAATAGATTGTTTAAAAACAAATATATCTTGCATAAAGACTAACAGATCGTTTCTTAAATATCTTTCATGGGAATCATTATGTTTTAATGTCGATTATTGTGGATTGATTCGATAGAACCTGTCTTATAGAACAGATATAAAAATAATAAAGGAATAAGGTGATGAACTGAGTGTTCACTAATACGCTGCCACGCAATTAATCAAAACACACAACTTTTGGGTTTTCTTTCATCGGTCGATTTCAATATCAAAGTGAATGAGCTC